ATTTTGGTTTAAAAAACAAACAAATAATCAATAAATATTTACACAATATTTTCATCCATAATAACATTTAAAAAAATACTTACTTACAACTGTGAACTTGTTAATTGGACTCTTTCTAGGTTTCTTATTTCTATAAAATATTGTAAATCAAAAAATTGATCAAATAATGATAAAATAGAACCAAGGAAAAGCCAATTTAAAGATAAAACAAACAAACTTATTGGTGATAAAAAATATTCACAAGTAATCAAAAATCTATGGAAGGATTTCAAACAATTATTTGACAAAAAGATTGGGTTGAATCCTGATTTTTCATTCAGTGAAATGGTCATTGAAATTCGTGAATTACTTGGGGAAGGAAAAGGTGTTGCTGCTTCCACAATAAAAAACCTCTATAAACGAAAAACAAATCTTAGAAGAAAAACAATAAAAGAAATTCAACAGTGGGTTAATAAAGAAAAGGAGAAAGAGGTGGAGAGTGAAATTAACAAAGATGATATGAAATGTTATTTTGAAAAATCTGAGGTAGCAAGCATGTCTTCTTTAAATACTGCAGCAAGTCAGAAACTTTTAAGAGCACATAACATTTCAACTCAAATAAAGGAAGTGACATTTGATGATCTTCCTTTGATTGGTCATAAACCTTGAAAGTTTGAATGGTATGAACATAAAGGAGAGGATTCTCATTGTGAAGACTACACTGATTTTATATCCAAACCATTCATTGGAAAAGAATTATTAAAAACTCATGATATATTATAAGGATACCAGCTGCAACTTTTGATGATGGTTGCTACCACCTTTACAACCATTTTGTTTCCTTTTTTGGGTTGCAACATGGAACACTAATATATTAGATGTCCATAAAAATAAAAGTCACCTTAGCATTAATTTGGTAAAAGGCACAACTGATGTAGTTATATATCAAAAAACTAAAGCAATCGATGAAAGAATAAATATTATACTTGTGATAGAAGTAAAGATGGTAAGTTTGTAAGTGGTTGATTATAATTTAAAATCTTGTTATTAATCAATCAAATCTTTTTATTAAATATATTAATATAGAACCCACAACATCAGGATCAATTTCAGGTGATTGGTGAGCTGTTAGCTGCAAATACTTTTTCAAGCTTGAAACCTGTGGCCTTGTTAACAAATTTTACAACTTATCAGTACTATTAGATTAGCCATGATCTGGCTGAGTTTAGAATCTTCACTACAGTTTTCAATGATTCACATAAAGCTACATCATTTGCACATATTCTCCTTTCAGCACCTCAAAAATTGACCAAGATAAATATTCCAGAAAATTTTCCTTTGTCTGAAAAACGTACTACAATTAAGCAAATTGAAATTATTTACAAAAATGATAATGATGTTGGAAATTTAGAAGACTTTAGAGAAGAAATGACATCAGAGGAGCAATCAGCATTTGAAGTAACAAAACAATTCTCTAAATTCGACCACATCTCCCTCCTCTTTTTCGTGACTGGTATCCAATCAAAGAAACAATAATTAATGGAGTTCCCACAAGGATCTATATTTAAGAACTCTTATCATTTTATTTTATTTTCACAAATAGTTTGACTGTCAGTAGTAGGAAGTTTTAAGAGTATGCAAAATTCTAGAATGTTAATTATAATTTGGTTCATAAATGTGTCAGAGAATTTTTTCACAAGATGGTACTGTGATGATTATTTATATATGTAAAATGAATAGAAAATCAAAAAAAAAATATTACAGCAGAGATGATAAATTGTTTGATGAAAATTTTCTATTTGGTTGATATTGTCATTAGTTTAGGAGAAGGATTTCTATAATTCAGCTCTTATTGATGAAATAAAATATTGCAAAAATTTAAAATTTATTTGTTGTCTTTTTTAAATACTTAATTTACCTGGAAACATCTGAATGTCATTTAGAGGCTCTTGAAGTAGCTAGACAATGGAGAATAAGGCAAAGCAAGGAAAAAGATGACAACTTAGAAAAAGCTTTGAGAAAAATAGAACTGCTAGAAAATACTGTGGCATGGCAGAATTATTTAGCAGACAAGCAACTTCAAGAACTACCAGTTTTACCAAGGAGAGAAAACAAATTTAAACTCCTAACTAACAAGGTAAAAAACAAAGCTAGTCAAGTAAAAGAAATAACCAAAAAAAATTCAATGCCAATATTTTACAAAAGAATAAATAGTATGAAATTATGAAATTAGAATACCAGTTTAATGAATTAAGAAGGGGAGATAAATGGCATTGTAATTTCTGCCCTTTTGAAAGAGAAAGTTTAACTGCTACTTACAAAATAATGTCTTACAATACAAATAATAATGATTACAATGACATTGCTTATATCTGTGTCAAGTGTAAAAAAGCTCTTGATGATGATACTTTACCACACTGTAATGATTGTGGTCAAATTATGAGAAACAGAATAGACTGCTTCTGTGATTTAAGGAAAGATGAACCAGTTAAAACTCCAACAATAACAGAAATAATGGCACAGAGTTATGTTGGCAGATTGGAACAGCAGAATAAGGACTTAAACAGCAACTATCCAGTGCTAAGGGAGAAATCAGTTCTCATTTGGAAGCCTAGAAGTTTCAAAGGATTGGCATAATAAGCAAAAGCAGGAATTATTAGATAAAATTCAAAGACTTAAAAGTGAATTTGAACAGTTAAAGAGACAGCAGATTCAACTAACTGCTCAAATTGAAGTTAAAGAAACTAAAAAATGACCTTGATTGAAAATAAAAGGTAATTAAAAATTAACAAAGTTGA